GCAGAGCATAAGGTCAATCAGCATTTGGGATGCCGGTATACATGATTGTGAATATTTACAATTGCGAGAGGTGCGCAAGGCGACGTGCGCATTTTGAATAAAGTCATCTGCATCCCTCGCAGGATGCACAGAAATAACATCTACGGTAGGCCCCTGACTAGATCAACGGTGCGGCTGACGAGGGTGAGCTTCCAAGCTGACGTTTCAACGATTTTTAGCTTGCATTTAAAAGCCTGTACACCCTAGATTATTCGACAGGGTCGTAAGTTATCAGTCACGACGGTGACGAAAAAACCTTTGCGGTACAAACAGTAGAGAAAGATATTCTAAAAAGTTTTCATACTCAAACTCTCAGCTAAAACTCATTCGTTGCGAAGTTATCAAGACCTTCGTAGTTTAGACGTGTACAGGCTTGTTTGCTACCCGCGAGCCATTGTTTCGCTAGGGCCTATCTTTAGACGAACTGTTACATTGCGCTTAAATGAAAAGTCTCATTGTCGATTTGGGTTGGGGGTTTGAGAATGGCTCGGATGATAGGGAAAGTGGGTGGACTTGTGAGGATAATCCTTTCGTCTGGGTGGTTGCACACCATAGGCTGTCGCCCTGCGTAGCGACTCTGTGTATATTCAATGTGAGAGACTTCCTTCTTGATGGAGGCTAGGCTAGGATAGAAGACCTCTTGTGAAACATTGGGAGACTTGATTGTATTTCAAGGGAGTCTGCATGGACATCAAGGCCACCATACGCCCGCTAATGTATTGCATGCAGTATTCGTATATCATGATCCCCCACTGCCACATTACCCGTGATCCCTTGCTGCCTGTGCGTGGCACCTCTGATCACTTCTTCGCATATTGCTTGGTCCATGCTTTTGCATTCTTGACAAACTCCTTCTTGTTCTCCTTGTATTCCCTCGCAATACCTCCCTCCACAGCATCATCAGGCTGAGGCTCCGAGAGCAGACCTTGAGCAAAGCTAAGCACGGCATCAATCTTCGACGAAGGCTTCCACTCGTCCGCACGTAGCATCCCTAGACACATGCTACCCTTGTCATCATTGGTGACATTTGGATGGTAGATCTTTGTCTTGAAGCTCAGGGTAGGAGGCTTGAACGGGTACTCCATGGGAAGGCTGAGATGCAGGTTGAAGACCCCGCCCTGTGGATTATCAGTGAAGCCTTCTCGGGTTGAGTGGCAGTGAATCGGAAATTGGGAAGGCAAGCGGCATACTTCATAAGGCGAGCCTTTGGGACCGTCAATGAGTATCTGCCACTGGTGTATGTCTGCCTCGGAGGGTAGGCTAATCCTCATACCATCTAGAGGTTTTTTCTGTATATCGGCATACTCCTGAGGTGATCGTTAGCTTGCTCAAGTGCATTTTCTCAGCCAGACCGACTTTTGTGATACGTTTCTGTGCTGTTGCCATGGCTGTTGGTCCACCGTTGAATAATGGCTTGAGCAGGTCACTGTTGATGTAGACAGCTCGCCGAGAGACTTGGCTGATTCAAGTGGGTAGTAACAAAGAAATTGCTGCGATGTATGTCTCTGAGTTAGTTCTCACAATCACCGGATTCATTGTTGTCGAAGGCCCCGCATATTTCTGAACGGTACACACAAGAAACTTCAAAGCGCGGAGCTTGATTGCCAAGCCAAGAATTACACTACATTAATTAAGCGCCGGATACAATGATAAAGTACCAGAAACCTCCACATTATAGAGAACCCTCTGTCTTCCAGCTATTTACATGTACATTCACAGCATAAAAAAAGGTTTAAGGAGGTTCACTGGCTACGGTGGTGCCAAGATATTGCAAGTCTGCCCACGGAACCTACTGGTTAACGGATAATAAGAGCTCTATCTACTTCATGTATATGCAGTCTAGACCGGATCATTTCTTGGCACTATGTTTGTTATCAAGCAAAGGAAGGAGACCGCTGAGCGATGACATGGGATAAACAATATGCAGACTATGAATGAACAAGGAATATTCCCTGTTCTGTTGGTCCATTCATCAAGTAATTAAGGCAACACTCAACAATCGTGAAAAAGGTGGAAAGCAGAAGAGATATCCTTCTGTGAACCTGACTTGGCCTACAGCGTTTGCTCAACCCTGCATACACTCCTGAACCTTACCACTGTACCCGCCCTTATTTCATACTCTTCAATACACTAAGGTAGGTCCATACCATGGCATCCCCTTCACGAACCCATCCGTTCGGTCTCCTGCCCGCTCAGATACGTTGGAGGATATACGGTCTCCAGGTTCCCGAGAGGCTAGAGTTCGTGAAATTCAGCAAGTCCAAAAAGTCTACGCAGCCTGCGGAATTGATACCACCTTTCATGCAGCTGATGCAGCAATTCCCTCATCTCGCTCGTGAAATGAGACTCCGGCTGTTCTCGCAACCGCAATTCGCATTTGTCTCCAGTATCCGAAACGGGCAATACTCTCATGGCTGTCAGCTCGCTTTAGAGTTCCTCCAGTCCATTCAACCGGCAGAAATTGGTTGCATCCGGAAGATCTGCTGTGACCTCGAGTGGACGACTAGAGCGGAGTACGCCGACTCGTTCTTCGAGATGCTAGCAAGATTAGCTACAAACCCTACGAGAGACATCAAGGATCTAGATTTCGAAGTGAAGCCAGCGCCAGAGGTCAAGCGCCCCAACAGAGGCGTCTCAACTCCCTCCTTCGCCTTTACTCTGCACGGGCTCCTCGGACTTGAGATCATCATATTTGTGTCAGGAACGGGCCGTCTGCCAGACCCTGTTGCTTGTGTCTCGCAGATCAATGAATTCATACAACAACGTCGCGAGGGACGCTTAACGGTCAACTTCCTTGAGCAATTGCCACCTGAGCTGAGAGTTATGGTGTATCGCCGCTTGCCACTTCCGCCGCATCATGTCATTGGGCCACTGAATGCGAACATGCCCATGAGCTGCTTGCATCTACTTCAGGTCAATCGTCGGATGAAGCAGGAACTCGTTCCAATTCTTTACGGAGACTGCGTTTTCGAGTTGCGCGCCACATCGAGCTGGCGTCACGCGAGAAAAGAGGATCCTCTCATCTCTGACCAAGCCCGCTGGATATCTGCATTCCTACGCAACGCCCATGTGACGCTCATCAAGAGGGTGAAAATAGTCCTCAAAACCCACGGTGTTCAAGCCGGCAATTACACGCCACCAATCAACACCATCATCGGTGAGTTGCGCCGTCGGTGCACCTTTCAGATTCAGGATACATACGAAGCACATGCCATTCAAGAGATTCCGATCACCTCAAACGAGTGGAACTCTGGCATCGGAAAGCGTTGTTTCCAGGTCAAGCTCGTGACACGGCGTGGCACCGAGCTGGTCGTAGAGATACGGGCAGAATGGGACAATCAGAGACAATTCGGCCTGGTGAAAGATTCACAGGAGCACGTGATACGGACCATCTACAGCAGGAGCGTGAATGGCATGCGGTCCAAGCTGGATGATAGCGGAATTGTCTTTGATGCTTGAGCTTTCCATCATATCCGCTGTTCGAGGTTCATGTGAGCACCTTAGAGACGAAAGGTAAAGACAAGCAAGGAGCACTGTACGAGCCTTGATGTAGATGTACCAGGAGGTTGTCATGGGAATCAATCTTAATGCAGCTCAATCTTCATGAATTATTCCCTCTGCAGAACGACCATGACTCCCATAAGTCCCAGCAATACCGTCTTCAGCCAAGGATGCTCCGACAGCAATATTGTCACGTATCCCACAAAAGGTACATAACCAATCACGCTTCCAATGATGTCCGTAGACCTTGTCAAATAATCCTGCCCCCTTGCATAAAGCTCCGTATCGTCCGCCAAATTGTTGTCTCCTTTCGTGAGTAATTGCAATGGCTCATCTCTGTATACGATCAGTCTCTCTTGGAGTCCCCTGAGACCACGTTTAACTCACCCTCCCCCATATCTCCTCACCACTCTATGCACGATCGGTATGTCCTTCCCCTTCACATTGTAGACCACGATCTCCCCAACCTGCGTATCCTGCCCTCGATTCCATAGAAATAGCAGGTCTCCTCTTTGAAATGCAGGCTCCATGCTACCAGAAAGAACGACGACGATGGGAGACGGAGAATCTGTGGCGACGGATAGACCCTTCCATAGCATGAACGCTGTTGAGAGGACCAGAGCGAAATTGAGGAGCTGGGTGAGGAGTTGACGGGGTTGAAGGCCGCCGAGCATTGCGGCGGTTGGTGAGAGAGCGATTGGGGGAACGCGATGAGAGATTCGGTTCGCGTAGAGCTGGAGCTGTGGGCCTGGGTCTATGAGCGAGCCATTGAAACAGTGACGGTACCTACTTTTGCTGCTGTCTTCAAGTTGATTAAGCTCTAGAGCTTTGGAAACGTTGCAGGAGTTTGCCCTCCAAGGCTGAAAGTGCTTGGCGCCAAGCCATCATCTCTTGGTGTCATGCTGCCGTTCACATTTTCCGTCTTCTTCACAGTCGTATTGGACAACAAAAACCACAGGGGTTCTACTACATTCGGACTCCGAAATAACACCGATCTATGCTTAGACAGCACCTTCGGTATCGGTTGACAACCCTCGAACATGGCCTCGAACCAGAGTAAGACGCAACTACGACGGAGATAAAGTAAGACGGAGATGCGCTGAAGTAACCTTCGCCATGCGGATCGCTCCTTCCAGCAGAAGAGGACGCGATGCACTTGCTGCATTATAGTCATTGCTTTCCCTTCTATCTGATGTCTTCCGCCACAACATTGTTTCTCTTATGTCAACATCCTTCCGAGTACCTTTGCACCTAGCAGCTTCTCCATCCTTCTACTTTGTGCATCGTTCTGATTTCCTAGCTTCTTTGTTTGACCTGCGCAGCCACAGCCTCCAAGACTGTACCACCATGAAATTTCTACCAAGGTTGGAAACCATGGCAGAGACAACTCCTCTTCTTCTTCCTCGAGCATACAGGGTTTCCCACCATATTCCAAGTTTTCTCCGTGTCTGTCATTCACCATGGCCTTTTCTTGGTCAACAGGCACTCCTGGCTGTTCGAGCAACCTTTGCAGTGTTCTTGTCTATCGTTTTCATTTTGGACATACCCTATGGAATCAATCACACCCGGAGAGGAAAACAGCTCGCATTCGAAGCTAGCAACGTCAGCCTCATTATCCAGATTTGCTACTACTGGACCACAACGGTGGGTGTCTCGCCTCTGCGTTGCGTCAATTTGTTAAATCCTCCAACAGTCGTGGACATTGCAACATATTTTGGCACCAGATGGTCGATTGCCTCCAGAGAAACAAGCCAAGGGGAAATTTCTAGCCCAGACACAAGCCCTTTTCTCAGCTCCAACGTCAACTGACAACAATTCCAAAGAACGCTTCGTATTCTCGACCTTCTATAACGCATCTGTCACATTTCCCTTCATAGTCAGCATTGCCTATTGGCTGGTGGTATATCCTTCGGAATCTGTCCTTGATCAAGGGAGCAAAGGCGAGCGTCTTCATCACTTTGTACTCATCAGCATCACTGTGCTCAACTCCGTGATCGCCTTCCTGGAGGTGATGGTCCTGAGCAGCGTCCGAAAGCAGAAGGTACGTAGTCTTTCGTGCCAGAGAAACAATTGTCTGAAAGTTCTAGGATCTCGCCACGCAGATTGCCGGTGTCATCGCTATATACCTCTTATACGGGATATGGACGGTTTTTGGTCATTCCGTCACCGGCGAGTATGTGTACAAATATTTTGACCCCGATTATGCTGGCTGGAGAGGCGTTGCTACGACCGATATCTTCATCTTGTCTCTGACGGTCACTGTGTTCTTTGCCCAGCGGGGGCTGCACGCACTGCGTGAGATCTTGGCCTGGAAGGCGGAGTGCGATCTTTCAGGACGTCGAGAGCGGCTGACTGCCCCCTCGTGTCCCCATCACTAGGGTCCCAGTCCTTCACATCAACCGACACCAGCGTTGAATTCCACTGCTAGACTTTCGCTATCCATGTCTGCCATCCTTTAAACAACGCTCACTCAGGCCTTAGCTCTGGAGTGCCTGGTGCGGATGATTGGCTTTGTTGGATGTGCATAATTGACGGCTCATTGCTAGGTTTCCCGCAAGCCCCATATTGCATCTCTCGGGCTTGTGAGCCATCCAGTCCGGCAAATACATATCCGCTACTGTGAAATTGGCTTAGAGCAAATCAGACGCCATCCTTGGAGTTCAAACCTTTGGCTGAAGGCTTTGACGTATCCATCTTGGAGAGAGTCTGCTCGATTTTTGACCCCGAACAAGCCAAAAAATCCTTCTTATACGCCACTTTTACCACTAATTAGTCTCCCGTTCGGCTTTCTCAGCACTTCTTTTGCTCTTAGTCTCCTCATTTAGCCGCCGTTTTCACCGTACTCACAGCATTGAATGCTTGGTTCCTGACAGGTGCTGGGGCATACAATCTATCCCTCAGCAGCAGGCCAACTTGACCACCTTCTCGACTCGTGAATTTCACCAGTTCATGAAGGCAGAGTCTGGCTTAGACGGCGACGTATTGCTGTGGGCCCAGCACCTAGGAGTCCAGAGCATTCTGTTAACCCCTCTCACACCACATCGAGATCTTCACTCGCTATCAATCATCAATCACAAAATCGTGGCCCTCTTCCTCTCACCTACCTCCTGATAGCATTGCTCGCATAAGCCTTGTTTTCTGTTCACTCATTGACTCTCCGTACTCTATCTACAACTCAAGAGTCCGAGTACTCGGTGTCTTGAAAGCACCTCATGCTCTTCACCTCTTTTACTTTGAGGAATCCATGCTTGTGTCGCTTACAACCTCTCTTCAGCCTCTGAAGTCAACATTCATCCCACTTTTCACACCGCCAAGTTCCTCTTGAAAATTCGTTGGTGATCTCTCAAAGTGAGCTGACGTTCTGATTTGCACCTTCTCAAACCTTCTTGCTCTCACACAGGTCCTAGAAACCCAGATTGCGCGTTGACACAGTCTGATTAACATCATCACCTCTGGACTACCAGTTCCGTCGTCCAGTCTCATTCCGCCCTCGATGGCTCTCTTCAGGCATAGCTTGTCCTCTGTCAGAACCCCACTCGGCCACCCAAACATCATGCAAATTGAGATCAACGAGCCAAAAGAAGGGGATTACTTGTCTGTGAAGCAAGATGGGGAAGACTGGCCCATCCTAATCTGTGACGAAGAGATGGTGCAGACTTTCTTCACCCGTTCGCCACGGCCGGGGAATGCACGACAGGCAGACGGGACTTGGGGGAAAGAGTACAAGGCAGGTGGCCCTTCGATCAGTGATAGACGCTTCCCAGCTATCTTCCTGGGGACGTTGAAATTGTAAGTCCTCTGGTGGCTGGCTGGCTGCCTCACTTTGGTCGATTAACTCTCTCCGCTAGTATCTGGGTGCCCTTGAAAGGTCTCGAGCCAATCGATATTGACATGGGCCGAGCCATTCGAGACTCTACTTCAAACCCTTTGCTTGCGAAAGCTTGGATGGAGTACATTAGCCAGTATAGAGGGGACAAGATTGTCGAATGGAAATGCATTGATCACTGGAAAGCAAGACTCCACGCGCAGCGTCTGGACAAAACTACACCTGGGGGAGTCAAGAAAGAGGGGTTGACTGCTGGGAAGACGCCCGAAGGTCGCAAGCGCAAAGGCACGCCCAAGTTCAGATATCCTCCCGGGTACCGCAACGAGGAATCAGATGATGAAGAATCAGATGACCTCTTCCTCAAAGGTAACACCGCTGGACCAAAGATCAAGCGAGAATCCAACAATTCGATCTCTTCTGAGGAAATGGATGCTTTGTATGGTGATCCAGACCCGCTGTACCCGAGATCCTCTCAGTCAAGCAAGAGAAGCAAGCTCGATCTCTCTGGACGTTTCTCGATGAGGCCTTCGACACCACTGAGAGCCAGCAGTGGCAGGCTTGCGACCCGAATGCCTTCTCCTGCACGTCATGGAACACCTTTTCGATCGACCAACCAAAAGATTGGGATCAACGAGTAAGTCTATGGCAGTATGGACCGGGACAGTTCTGGATGCTGACCGCTTTCTCTCCCAGTCCAAACACGGTCATGATATACGTTGACAACCCACACAAGATGTTCAAAGTCAGACGCAGCGGCTTGGATGCGAGCCCGCTTCTGTCGAACTTTCTCACGCATCATCCCGAAAATGGCTGGTATATCATGTCGCCCATGCTGTCCTCCCTTGACGCGAACGACTTCCAGCCAATTGGCGAATACATTGATCGTCGCGAGTATCAGCCCAATATTTTGGACGAAGGTACCATACACGTCCGCCTTGAAGGTTACCTGGACCCTGAGATGCTTCGTCACGAGATAGTGCGCTGCGGTACGATTTACCTGGTGGCCCAAAAACTCGAGATGCCGGGCCTTCAGGATCTCGCCTTCCGCAAACTCAAGGCCCTAGCGTCTCACTACCAGGCCTTGGAGATCTTGACCGTGATCGAGTTGCTGTTTCAGATTGGCAGTCCTGAGGTTCGTCAATACCTGACGCAGCATGTCGCGGACCACTATTGGAACCTCATCCTCGCGGAGACCGAGAGGATGGTTGAGACTATGCGCGCGAATGTGGACTTGGCGAAGGCGGTCTTTGGTAAGTTGAGCGGCCAGGATGACAAGGTCAAGATGGAGGATATTGTGAAAGAGGAGGGGAAAGAAGAGGCGGCCGATGAGACCAAGGGAGGGGGCACCAGGGGGAAAATAGAGGATCCGAGCGAGGAAGGAGAGGTTGACGGGATGAACAACAAAGCAAAAGTTGATGGTGCCGATGAAGAGGGTAGTATGGTTGAAGAGAAGAAGGAGGAGGCAGGCAACCAGACCAACAAGAAGGAGAAGACTGATGAGACAATCAATCAAACAGAGGAGGAGATGGTCAAAAAGGCACTTCGTCAGTCTGACGAGGGGCAGACCGAGGTAGACTGGGTGGAGCTGGTGCAGAAACAGTCGGACCTTTTTGAAGCTTTTTGATGATCACATGGTCTCGATGAAGCGGGCATGTTGCTTTGGAGACTGATAGATGAGTTGTCTTTAGTCAGATTCTGCCAGACGTTTAGAAATCTGTTGCTGGCATCTCTCATTGCGCAAAAAGAAATGGGTTTGGGCTTGCATATTATCATTAGACAGGACTGAAACACTTGGACTCGCCGCTCATTTCTCGCAAGCACTATCTATCATCCAGTACTCTTGGCTCCAAAACCACTCCATACGTTTTTCACAATTTCGTAACCAGCTTCCCGGCCCCCACCACCCCGGCGGCGAGCAACTGCACCACCACGCCCATGAACCAGAACAACACTTCGAAAGCCCAATACAGCAACTTCAGCACCGCCCTCGTCGTTTTCGGCAAACTCTCGTCCTCCGTCGAGAAGATCTGCTTCGGCGGCTGATGCTTCGTCTTCTTCCTTGGCACCGTCTCCGGTCCTCGGTGCGGCGGTAGAAACTGCAGCTCGATATCCTGCCCGTAGGCCGAGGCGGAGTGCAGAGAGCGGTCCGACCCGATCGACTTTGTGGATCGGAAGACGGAGAAACGGGACGGGGATCTTTTGTCGTTGCCGAGGGACGAGCGGGGCGGGTCGTACGCGAGGGTCGGAGGCGGTGGGAAGAGGGGGCGGTGAGGGGACGTGGGGACGGCGTGGGAGGATGGGCTTGGAGGGGCGCAGGAGCGGTGGAGATGGAGGAGGAGGGCGAGGAGGGTGGACATGAGGGTGTCGAGGATGTAGAGGGATGGGAGGGCCGTGATCGCGGGTGGGTGGAGGGTCAGTGCGAGTGTTTGGAGGGAGAGGGCGAGGAGGGGCGTGTGGGTTTCTGGGGCGAAGATTGTGATTTTCTGCGGGTTTGAAGGGTTAGGTGTGATCTCGATTGCGAGCGTTGTAGCCGCCGAGTCGAGCAAAGTCGGATGCATGAGGCAGTATTTGTTACTGTCGCTGTCCCACAGCAGCATGCTGGCCTCCTGCTCTTGAGCCCTGCCGATAGCTTCGGCTTGCAGATCAGCGCACGCTTTGCGGTCGAGCTTGTGAGCGACTGCTACGTTGGAGGAGTGGTCGAGGGCCATTAAGCCGGCTAACTTGGGAAAGATGCAGGTCACGAGGGGATCTGCCGATGTGGGCTTTTCGAGGGTTGACGTCGTGCTTTGGATGGTTGGGTTGCGGTTCCCGGGGTGGGTGCGGGAGACGGTAATGTTGGAGTGGGAGGCTTCGAGGGTGTAGATTGGGTCCGAGGTGGAGGCGTTGAAGGTGATTATTTCTCGGCCAACGGTCAAATCATCGCTGTGCGCTCGTTAGCAAGGGTTCAAGATACAGTTGGAATAGATCCACTCACCAGCTTAGCTCTAAAACATATGTATCAGCCACTTCTTCCGAGGCTGTCTGGCCATTGGCAATGTCCCATAGGTCCAGAAGGTCTTCAGGACTGGAGAGCGTCGGTTCGTGTTCGGCATTATCTGCAGATCGAAATGGTGATTCTTTGACGTCTGCAGCCTTCAGTCTTTCTCTCTCTGATTGCAGATATGCCGAGTTAGGACGATTGTTTGCTTGCTGTGAATATGAGGGCGGACGATAGGAAGAGGTTCCTGCCACAGCCATAGCGCTTGCTAATCCAGGCACCCTTTCTATATCAGGTCGATATTGCTGTTGTGTAAAAGGTACGTTAGGGTCGTAGCGAGGGAACATTGAGCGCATTACCGGCGTAGCGCCGCTGTTACTACGGACGAGTGTTGGTGAGGTCGTACTGGAGCGTGGCAACGGTACTTCAGTCGGCGAAGCGGCTCGACTGCGTGTAGAGAACGATGTAAGAGGGCTCGGTGGAGTAGCGGGTCGCTGATCATCTGAGATGTATGCCTTAGGAGGTATGGCAAGAGGCGGAGGTTGTGGTTTTTGTCTTGGAGCTTTTTCTACTGTATCCTGCGTCTTCAAGATGACAGAAGGAGGTCCAGGGGGAGGAGGAGGCGCTTCTGTAATGTGTATAACGAAGCCATTCGTCTTGCCCGAGGAGTGGAGCATGTCGAACTCCGGCAAGCCTGCTATCGGCTTGCTGGTATATCTTGTGCTACTTTTATGCACTGGGCGCCTCAACGAGGACATTGTCGGGAATCTTTGTAGAGCCCTTTCCGAAGCCATTAGGAAAGATTGGATGAGTATTAGTTGAGCAGCAACTGGACTGTGAGATCATGGACTCGGCCCAAAAGAAAGCAATGAGCGGAAAACATATACGAGACTGCAAGCAACTCGCGACGCAACAATGATATACCGAGCAAGAAAGAAAAGCAGCGATGACTCTGCTGAGGCCCAGAATACCTGTGTCGCACAGCGCAGTCTTCAAACGAGGAGACGAATTGAAGACCTTCACAGATCCCACCGAGACATATACCTACCCGGCCTTTTTGCGGGCCCTTCCCACCAGAGGCAGAAGGGGTCATCTTCAGGGCGCCAAAGGACATGATAATTTTCAGTCTGTTCTTGAGGTTGCCAAGGAAGTAAGACCTATAATTGTAACTCACGATTCGTGATGTTGGTGCTGACTGGATGAAAGGTGTGCTTCCTTCGAACTAATGCAGGTTCCTCGGCGCGTATTTTAGCGTCACCAATGATTGGCTGGTATGACGACAGGGGTTCGCGCCCGAAGGTCTTGGGTTTGAGCGGTTCAATGCACGAAGAGATAACCGTGGTGTCGACCAGTTGTTGCCAACGGTGAGATTATACACTGAAGTACGCCAAGACGCAAGCACGTCGAGCAGTTTCTGAACAATACAGAATGACGAGAGCAAGAACGGAGCAAGATGAATCATGGAAGCACCATGGTCAAACAACTCCAGGCAAATAATTTTGAGAATAAAAGAAAGGGACAAGAGACAGAAGACATAAGACGTTAATTGGAGGATGACTGATTGCTTCGTCGATGTGGCAGCCAGAGGCAATCTATTATACATGGAATGGCTCCCAAATATGAC